ACCCTTCTGATGCATCAGATCACACCATGCATGTACCGAGCTCCGCCGCGCAACCCGTGGTCCAAAGCACCAGATCTCCTCTGCTAAAAAACTAAAGGAAGCCGACCGAGATACCACTTCCTATCCAAGCGGATTTCTACACCGACAGTATCTAAATTGTTTCTACCCTAATGCTCAAGGACTCCTAGGCAAATTTCCAGAGTTGAATTTACGTGTTATGTCTATTCAATGGGATATACAGAGACTTGGCTCAAAGCTGATATTTTGGACTCCGAATTGTCTTTATCAGAGATATCTCTACTCAGAAGCTATCGTCTTACCCGTGGTGGTGGTGTTTTACTCTACTATCGAAACAGTTTTGATTGCGAGCAAATCTACCCTCCCGTTTCGCCACCGGACACTCTGTGGTGCAGGTTGATATTATCCAAACATGATGATTGATTGGTGTAGTCTATCGTCTCCCATCATCCCCGGAGACGGCCAGTGAAACGCTATGTGTCACACATCTCACACATTCTTACACAAAAATTTACCCATGTTCTCCTTATGGGTGATTTCAACTGCCCCAATCTCAATAAATCAGCCACCGTCCGCCCATTTTTCGAACATCATTTCAAACGGCTGATTGACTTGCATCCACTATACAACCATGTGAAGGTGGCCACTGGGTTTGGCAACCTACAGTCACCGTCCATACTGGATTTAGTGTTGACCAATGAGGAGCTGATGGTAGAGTCTGTCAATGTGACCTCTCCCCTAGGACCTAGCGATCATGCAGTACTTACATTCAAATACGTCTGTTACGCATCGATTCAGGTAAGTTCCTCTGATAACAAGCGCAGATCTATAGACTACACACTGTTGAATAACTTGGCGCTCTCTGCTCAGTGGGGTTCTTATGACGAAGAAGCTAATCAGTTGGTCGCATGGAAGAAATTTACTGAAAATCTTACGAATATAATAACATCCGTGACTAAACTAGAGTAATCACCAAATCTGGCATCCGAAATTCACCTATTCGAAGCCGCACAAAGAAATGGCTATCGGCGAGGGATTTAGCCGGGCGAGATTATAATCATCTTCCGAATGCTGTCACATGGAATAATTACCGTATGCTGAGGAACCACTGCACCAAGTTGATTCGTGAGGATAAAGTGAAATAC